GATTATTTGCAATTTTACGTTTCTTATAAAAATATTTCAATATTTCTCTAAATGCTACCACAAATTCATTAAGTCCTCCTTCAAATTTAAAACTTCTCTCCATTATGGGATGCTGTCCAAGGACAATATAAACAATAAAATATAAGAAATCAATATGTACAACTTAACACAGTACCAGCATAAGTCAGACTAAGAATCCTGGTTACATGTGCAGCTTGGTGGGGGTGAAAGATGCAGGAGGAAGAAATTTTGGGATGACAGTTGAGCTGAAAATTTACACTGTTACGTTGAATAAAAGAAACCACATGCAAAAGCTAAACCTCCTTTAGCTTTTGAAACAAGTGGTATTTTTGTATGCTACTACAGCAAGTTTGATAAATAGTGTTTAACTGAATTTTCTGCATTTTAGTTGTTCACATATAATCAAATCTGTGTTGTATAAATCCATGTTGGAGAAGAGTCTGCTGTGTACATAAAATTGCAGTTAAGTGACTATTTAGAACACTGGTATGTCAATATGATTGAAGTCCAATGAATCCTCAAAAGAAATAACTTATTATGCTGTAGGTTGGATTTAAATCCATCAGGATGGGATCTAGTGGCAAGCTTTCTTGTTGCAGTGGTAAACCCATAACCTCATTAAATCAGTATTTTTGAAACTTAGTGTTTGTTTCAAGGCCCACCTCTGACCTGATTAATAACATTTTCTCGGCATTAAATTGCTGGGAAGTCGGGTTTGGAAAACATATACTATTGTGATCACACAAAAGTTGATCACTCTGAACTATTGTGTTCCAGTTTTTACTGACAGCAGACTGGCATCTCAAGCATTCATATTTTTCTTGGCTGGGTTTGAAACATCATGCACCACACTGAGCTTCTGTTTGTATGAGCTAGCTGTGAACCCAGATATTCAAACCAAACTCAGGGAAGAGGTAGATGTCACACTTCAGAAGTTTGGAGGGATCACATATGATGCTGTTCACAGCATGAGATACCTCAGTAAAGTGATAGATGGTAAGATAATTTGCTGTCTCTTGTATATTATTTGAAGCACAAAAAAAAAAACCCATAATATATTAATGATTTTATGAAGCACAAAAAAAACCCATAATATATTAATGATTACATGTATATAATTAGGAAAGCAGTGATCGTGTCCCTCTGTAAGTCCCATGTTTTGAGGTTAAGTATTCATTTCACGGGTAAATAACATTCTAAGCTCTTTTTATTTAATTTTTTACAGTAAATAATGAGTTGTTAATTTTACTTATGTGTTCATTACACCAGAGACTCTACGCAAGCATCCTCCTGCAGCAAATATAACCCGTGTCGTGACTCAGCCATACACCATACCAGAAACTTCTGCAGAACTCGAAAAGGGCATCAGAGTTGTCATACCAGTATATGCCATACATCATGACCCACGTTACTACCCAGAACCTGATCGGTTTGATCCAGAACGCTTCTGTGAGGAAGCAAAGTCTTTAAGACCTCATTTCACATATTTGCCCTTTGGAGAAGGACCAAGGAATTGCATTGGTAAGCCACATTTATAGAATTTAAGTTATGTAGGTTAAGATGCATGTTTCTCATTTTCTTCATTTACAAACATTTTAATCATTGTTTATGTATGATCCACTACAGGGATGCGTTTTGGATTGCTGCAGACAAAAGTAGGCGTTTCTGTTCTTCTATCAAATTATGAGTTTAGTGTGTGTGAGAAGACAAAACAGCCTCTGGATCTGGACCCAAAGTCTTTCATCACATCAGCAAAAGGTGGCATATGGCTGAAGATAAGCAGACGTTCATCACAAAAATAAAGCATTATCACAGCTGATGACAACTATTGGTATAAAACATTTTCCGGAATGTATTAGGAACAAAGTTGCTGTTCATACTAAAACAGATTCAATATTGACATTTAACATGAATATAATACAAATGAATTTTATCCCTCATGACAGGGTAAGAACAGCACAGAAATATGAGGTTCCTGCATTAAAAAGAGCTTTCTACTTCATAGAATTTCGAGCTTTGAGTATTTAGTATGAGACTAGTTACACCTAAACTCCAGTCTGTGAACCATTATTAGCTATGTGGCACATGACAGAAAATAAAATGGATTTTAGCAATATTATGCACAATCTGTTTTATTTTTTATTTGTTTCAACTTTCTCTATGCTGATCTTTCTATACCTGCTTATTTAATTATACATCTAATATCAAAATTACTGAATCTTAACAACATAGTTGGCTTAGAAATTGGTAAAGCATGACACCAACAGAAGTTGTTAAATATTTTTCTGAAATGTTTGCACCTAACTTACAATGTTAGCATTATTATTTTCTGACAATAAAACAATTTGTGTTACAATTTTAGCTGACTTCATTATACTAATGTAATGACTCCTAAATTAACTCTCAAAAAGTATGAGAATAACTGTACTAGGCACACATAATTTAATATAAAAACATTACCTGAGTGTTTAAATAAATGTTTGCTAAGGATATTGGAAAAAGTTAAAGAATGTTACTCAGGATTCCTTTTATGCTTAATATGAATGTAAAAATTAATGACCTTCAATGTGTTTCGTACAACCCATATACATTCTTTGTCATCCTGTATGATGAAAAACGGTTGCCTGATATCAGAAAACACATTAACAGTATTTGGTAGTAATTATCAATATGGACATTTGTTAAATGAAGGGCATAAAATAAAAATCACGAATACTTGTGGAGATGCATCTCAATCACAACACAAATTAAATTTCATACTGAAAGCTTATAAAAGCAAGGTGTAAAATATCTCATTAAAGACTGATTTTGTTAAAGAAAGTTGCTGAGGAACATGTTAACTTGTTCCCAATAATTGGCATAATGTAATGCAATGTGGAGTCCTTGAAAGGCAGATATGTTCAGCTAGCCAATATATTCCCACATTTTATGGAACAAGAACGTATCTGTGTCTAAAGACTGTGACACCTGGATAAAACTTTAGCAAAATAAACGGGACAAACACTCACTCCCTGTTTCCCTTAGATCCATTTTAATATTCCACCATCTACACTCAGGTCTTCCAAGCAGTCTCCTCCGTTTAGGCTTTCCAATAATTTTTTTTTAAATTTATTATCTTCTCCATATCCAATTTTCAATTTTAACATTTCACCCATAACTAAAAATTCCATTTTGACGCGGCTTGTCCGACAAGATTTTATTGCATTTAGTCGCCGTGAAGGCCTCAAGTCTTATACAAACACCATCAGCTTGAAATTTGAACATTGTGCATGCTAACAAATCAAATCGTTTCCATTTACACTCCTTAGACAAAGATTATAAAATGTCACTTCCTTAACATAATCATCAAACGTCTATAGTCCCATATTTATTCCATAATCGTTAGCAGTCCACTAAATATTGTGTAAA